CCTTTTCTTTAAGCTAAGTATACACACACACATTTTTTTTTTTTTTTTTTTTTTTTTTTACTAACCTAATTAATTACTTACTCTGTCAGCATTCTAAATCCATTCCCCTTACAAGATACACCGCATACCTTTCTTTACCATGACACGAGCTAGATCCCCTGTGATCTTTATCCTCGAAGTCACCATCGCTTGTTTCTTCTTTTCCAGCAATGTTTCCCTTTAATTGACAAAGTTTTTTAACTCTTTCCCTTGTATAGGGGTCTCTCAACTTGGTACCATCCAATTCAGCAAGGTAGAATTGTCCATGACGTCCAATCTTTCGAACTAAATAGGGTCCCAACCATCGATAATCAAGCTTTCGAGACAAAGAAGTTTTCAAAGTAGAGTCATACACCAAGACCATATCATTCACAGCAATCACTTCTTTACAACAACGGTTACGTTGGTCATGAAAGGCTTTCTAGCATTCCTTCATTTCATCACGATTCACTTGCACATCCTTTAACTCATAATATAGATTCTTCATTTGTAGAACACAGAATTCCAACAACTCTTTGGTGGTCCACGCCCTTTACAACACATATGTTTGGTATGTTTCGATGTTCAATTCTAGAGGTGTTACTGCATCTCTTCCATACACAAGTCGAAAAGAAGAGTAGCCAAGTTCACCAACTGTTATATTGATTGCCCAAACTATCTCTCGAAGATATTCATTCCACTGATTCTGCCTTTCAGCACATACCTTACGCAAAACTGTGGTCAACTTCTGCACGCTTCTTTCGGCCCTTCCATTCGCCTTAGGATGGTAGCTTGCTGCGAATTTTTGATCAATGCCTATTCGAGCAGTAAGTTTACTCATAATACTATTCTTAAACTCTGTACCTCTATCGGATACTAATTCCGCAAAACATCCATGCTGAGTGATTACATCCTCCCAGATAAACTAAGCGATGTTCTTCACATTCTTACTTCTGAGAGCACGTGCTTCGATATACCCTGTTAAATCTTCTACTGCTACAACAATATGTTCGTGTCCAACACTTGTTCTATGCATCGGTCCTATACAGTCTATGTACAGTCGATGGAAAATCCAGCTTGTCACTACAACGTGAATAGGTTCCTTCGGCACTGTGAATTCACATTTTTGACATACTATACAAGACATCACATGATTTCACACATCCTTGTACAGATCACCTGATGCCCATTCATAGTTTATTAAAATTTTTCTAACACAACTATTTATTCCTCTATGCCTGCCTTCATTAACCATTCCTTCATGATTCGCCTTCACTATCATGTCTTTATCTTCAGATTTGAAAATCACCCTACGTGGCAGTTTTCTCTTGACGGATCGTTAGTATAATTGGCCATCCAGTAAACAATATCTTCTTAATTTTGGGTTCAATTGCCTTAAGTCTGTCTTTGTTACATGAGTTGGGCAACAAAATGTTTTCAGATAACATGTTATAGTATGCAGGTCATTCAGTTTCTGATTTTCGGTATCCACATACATTAACAAATTCTCAACATATTCATCATCTGTAGGGCTTTGTTGTTCTGGGGAATTTGGATACCTCGAGATCCTATCAGCATTGCCATGCATCTTTCCAGACTTGTATCGCACACAAAAATCGAACGTTTGAAGGGCCAGAATCCATTGCATAAGCCGTCCCTTAAGTATCGCCTTGTTGAACAACCACTCAAATGCATAATGATCCACCTATACATCAAACACAGTTCCTCCTATATATCGCTCGTTCACATTACAACCAAACACGATACTTAAACATTCCTTTTCTGTTATGGTATAATTGACCTTATGCTCATTCAACTTTCTGGACTCAAACGTTACAGGACGCAACCGACCTTCTTCATTATGTTGCTCTAAAACGACCCCCAGGGACACATTACATGTGTCGGTGAACATTTGATATGGACATTCACCTTTCTTGGCCTTCTCCCAATTTGGTGCTTTCAACATAACATCCTTTAACAATAATTTCTTGAGAGCCTGGAACAACTGCTTTTGTTCAATGCCCCACTGATATCCAATATTTTGTCTCGTCAGATCGGTTAGTGGCTTTGCCACATGGCTGAAGTTTCTTATGAATCGTCGATAGTAGTTCATCATGCCTAAAAATGACTGAACTTCAGCAAGACTGTCAAGACTCTTCCATTCTACTATTCTTTTAATTCACTTTGGATCTACTCGTATTCCTAATTTGCTCACTACAAACCCATACATATTCAATTTCTTATAGAGAAGGTGATACTTCTTTGCCGCAAATGTCAACCCGACCTCTTTAAACCTGCATGCCAACTTTACAAACGTGTCAACATGGTGTTTAATTGACCCATTTGTTCATATTCCAACATCATCTTGGTAAGCCACTACAACACCACGCCATTCATCTCCTTCCAACACAATGTCCATTAGACATTGGAATGTTTCACTAGCATTCTTTAATCCCATACACATTACCGTATATCTTAGAAGTCCGATTGGAGTTGCAACTGCAACTTTATCTCTATCTTTCTCCTGAATCTGGATTTGCCAATACCCTTTATATGCATTGACCAATGAATAACAATCATGACCGACTGCCATTTCCAATATATTATGAATTATGGGTAATAGATACCCATCCTTTACAATATACTTATTCAGAGGTCTTATATCACTTACAACTCAAAACTCATTAGTCCCACCCTCTTTCTTCTTTACAGGGAAACAATGATACACATACTGTCCCTTCCCTTTTTCCAACAAGCCATACTTAACCATTTCCGAAGCTGGTTCTCGAACAGTATGGCTCGTTCAGGATTATTGATGCGAATAGGTCTCATTCTATTTTCAGGTATAACCTTCCCGCCTGTTCTCACCTCATATTCAATTAAGTTCGTCTTTCCTATCTCAGAGAGATCAAAAGCAAACACCTCTGAAACATGCTCCATTAACTGCTTAACTACATAATCTCTAATATCTTTTGATATTTCTTTATTAATGTCTATCACACTACTATTTTCTCTAGTGAGTCGCATCACCAACTCCGGCCCTTGCATATCAACAATACCATTCTTATCCTCGTGATCTGTTGTCCAATAGATAACTTGACCACAACTTCTCATATCTTCCTAGTGATCATTGTCCACCGCTTCAACCTTATGTATTATCAAATGCTTGCCATTCTTGGCTCCTTTCATCAAATTTATATGCTCGTTGTCCATTTTACCCATTTCGACTGCATACACTTGAACCCTTCGCATTGATAATACTTCAATTTCTTCCTTATCCTCGATGAATTCTTCGTCATTATCTGTGTCATTCCAAAAACTCACTCAACTTTCAGGTACAGTAGTAGTAACAAACGATACCTCTCTATGTTTTGAGGTAACTGAGCACCAGTACCAGTTATTTCTCCATTTTAGATCATATTTAGCGGCAGCAATCCAAGGCATACCTAGCAATACATCGAAACTGGCGGACTTCATGACATAAAACCCTTGATTCACCTTTATTCCCTCTACGTTAACCTCCATATTCGGAATATACCCAGAAAACTACTAACACTATCATCAGCCATCCTTCCTTTTCCATTGACTGGCCTCCAAGACAACCCTTTTTCCTTTGCATATCTTTCATGAATGAGGTTCACACGTGATCCAGGATCAATCGGAGCATCGGTTCTTTTTCCATTAATACAAATTATTCCTATAAAAATGTTCCCAAATTGCTTCATATTTGTGTTCTGAACTGCACAAACAATACTGACATTAGTATCTAACAGTACTATATCACTTTTCTTCTTTTTCAAAGTTAATGCTTTTAACACCTCCGACCAGGCTTTTGGGAACCATTTAAACAATTGACCAAGAGTTAACATTATTTCCATCTCAGCAATCTTTCTAAGAATATCGAGTTCCTGACTTAATTCCGTTAATAGTATATACATCACAGGCCTCAAACTACCAGGCTCATTAAGGTTAGTTCCTGTTCCAGCAACTGTTTCCTTCTTTTCCTTATTTTCAGTTTCGATTTCATCAATTCTCGCATGCTCATCGATATGCTTTCTCTTCCATAAGTTCCAATTTCGGATATCAAATATAGACTTCCCTTTCACCATTTCAACTTTCAAACATTCGATTTCTGGATTATTTGTTGTTGAGGTAATCTCAAAGTATCTAATATTTGCTTCTCTAATTTCAACGTTCTCATTTCTTTCCTCTTTTCGTTCAATAGGTAGATTTTGTTAACCTCATTTGGACAGTTGCGTGAAAGATGACCCTCCTGTTGACAATTAAAACATCGCCGAATGCCATTGTACAGTCTTGAATTCCTCATCATCCCTTGGTTCCTAAAATTAAAGCAACCATCTGACCCCTGGTTATCAGTAAGTTGTCTTACTGCCCTTGCCATTTCTCTCACATCAGCCTCAATTTTGTCAATTCTACTAACTTCATTAGTTTCCTGTTTTACATGATTAATCATTAAAGCTCCGAGTGCAGCCATAATGTTATCAATGTCTGTGTCGGTTGATTGAGACTTTTCTTCTACTATTGGTACAGATTTTCTGTCCCCATATCGTTCTCTATCCTTCTGGAAGGTCTCAATTTGAAGCACACAATCCTTCGCCTTGACATAACTTGTTGGACAGAATGTCTCCACCTTAAACCAATATGGTTCACGTAGACCGTCTAAGAACCAGTCCCTTTGTTCATAACTTCTTACCTTGTTTTTAACTGCATTTATGTATGCTTCGAATCTGCTTGCATAACCCCTTACTGTTTCTTTTTCACCTTGCCTCATAGTCCTCAACCGGTTTATCCTTATTCTATCATCATTTTCAGCATTTATTATCTTGATTATAGTGTCCTTTAAATCTGCCCATTAATTTTTAGTTCTTATCAGCTCTCGAACCCAGGGTTTGGTTTCTTCAAGCATGTGCATAACAACCATTCCACATTGTGTCTCCTCATCCTATCCCTTCGACTTTGCGAAACGTTCATAGTCAAAAAGGAATCCATCAATGTCATCTTTGCTTTCCTTGTGAAAGAATGGCTTTGTTAAATCCTTTGACATAAAGTTTTCTATTACTGTATGTATTTTGTGTTTTTTTGTTTTTTTTTTTTTTTTTTTTAGTAGTAGTTTGTTATTTCTGGGGTTCCTGATTTTAAGATCTCAAGATATCTCTACTATACTTCCTAAGCACAACTTTTCCAAAGCTATTCAGTGCACCACAGTCATTATGTTTTCAACAAAATATCTACTGTACTTTGCACGTTGATCGAAATAGTTCTGCCTTTGATGTTATTTTGCCAAGCACGAGGATTTCTGCTTCGTTTTGTTAGGATATTACTTCTGTTTTTATCACTATTAGCTCAAAAAAATTTTATGTAGGTATGGCGAGATACTGAATATTTTGCCCAGGTTCTCGTGTTGCAGGTTAATAAATGACTTGCACCACTTATGATCCAACTCTGGTAGAAAGCGACCAACGAATCTGATCCAAGACAAGTTTAATACAATGAACTATGCAAGTATCGCCATCCTTTTCTGGGTTTTCTTTTCTTTATTCACCTCAAACTCTCTGGAATTCTTATTCTTTATTTTTCGCTTTTACTTATATATCCTATTTACTTTAAATTAATTACATCATAATTGATCGTATGATCAATTGACTCTTAAATTAACTATACGGCTAATTTCATATACTATCTTTGACTTTCAAATTGACTACATATTTTATGCATATTCGCTATCATACTACGCCTTATTATTTTCTTAGTAGCACTGATTCATGCAAAACTGATCTTTCGTAGTACATAATTTTTCGATCCCGATCGATCGATCATGATCATCACGCAGTCACATGGACACGATTCTAAACAAACGTTCGATACCCCCCTTTTCTTTAAGCTAAGTATACACACACACATTTTTTTTTTTTTTTTTTTTTTTTTTTACTAACCTAATTAATTACTTACTCTGTCAGCATTCTAAATCCATTCCCCTTACAAGATACACCACATACCTTTCTTCACCATGACAATAGAGATAATAGATGTTTAATTGCAGTTGAATGAATTAGATTAATATAGTTTGCATTAAAATTGAGAGCATTAAAAGAAACTTTTTCAAGAAATTGGATAGAAATTATTGATGATACATTAATTGTACAGCAATTTGCAACTTTATAAAAGTTGAGATAGCAACTTGTACAAGCTAAGCATTGAATTGATAGAAGAGAGTAGTAAGTAGAGCATTCTGTATTAATATTTGTTTTCCAGTATGTGATAGAAATTTGGTTGTCATTTTTAAAATATTTGTGAATTTTGTCAACAATAATATCATTATTATTGTATATTAGTAATCAGGGTTTAAGTTTTTTAGAGATGTGTTAAGAGTTGTAAGTAAAAGGGTTGTGTTCAGTTTGTTGATATTGTGAAAGTAGTGTTCTAGAGCTGTTAATAGTTGTTACAGTATTTTCTAGACATGTAAACCAAGATGGCTTACATACTTTAGATAACTGTACTAAGCAAAGTGAAAGATAATTCCATTGAAATAAAGTAGTATTGTCTGCAGTGCAGAGTTGTTTAAGCTACAAGATGTTAAGTTTTCTAAGTTGTTTTTTGAAAGTAGTATATTAGGAGTAGGAGGACATAATTGGTTCAAGTAATTGAAGGTTGTATTGTATAGTATTGGGCCAAGATATATTATTATTAGTTGTTATAGATATGTTAATGTATATAAAAGGTTAAATAATTTTAAAATTTAAAATATATCTGTTAGGTCCATCAATATTAGGTTGGGGGTGTTGTAATATATTTGTTGTAGATCAGAAATTATTTTGTAATTGTTGTAGTCAAATATGTGTAGAAGTTCCTAGTAAATTGGGTTGTTAATTAGTAATATAAAGTTAGATATATGATGTTGAAGCTAAATGTTCCAGATATTTGTATATTATATAAGAATAGGCTAAGCATAATGCTGTTTGGGATGGAACAGACTAGATGAAATTTATGTTTGCCTATAGTTAAATATTTGATTATAATTTTATTGCATACAGAATAGGGAAGGACTATATTATGTATTAGGTATTTTAGTATAAGAATAATAACTGTGTTGATAATATAGATTATTTGTTTATCTATGATTTTTTTGGTACTAGCAATGTTTATGAGTTGGAATGATTCTTCTTGAATTAGTTTAATTTGTGCAGTTTGTTTGTTAATAAGTGTAAACCAGCAGCCAAGAAATTTAAAAAGTTGGTTGGCTAGAATAGATATAAGTGTAGAATTAAAGAATTAAGTAGTAGTTTGGAGTTGATTTAATATAAAGATAGATTTGGAGTAATTGATTTGAATATTGGCTATTTGGTAAAAAGATATTGCAGTTTAAAGTGTTTTTTCGAGTTCTAATTTAGATTAAGATATCCAAAGTGTATCATCCATATAGACTAGAATAAAAGTAGATATATTAAGACTTTGAGTTTTAAATAGAAAAAGGCTAGTTGGCCATGTTGTAAATAATATATAACCTTTATGTTGTGATGTGACTTTGTGAATAAGTAGGTTATAATATATCTACCAAAAAAGAGAAGTAATAGTTTCATCTTGGTCTATTTCATTTTTAACTGAATAAAAATTAGTAAGACCAAAGTTTGTAATTACTCTGTTTTGGTAATCTGTAAGTAGATTAATAAGTATATTAATCAGTTTGGATGGCATATTGATATGATTAAGACTTTTTCAAATAGGTTTAAATTAACTAAATCATAAGCTTTGCTCATGTTCTGAGATATATTAAAACAATAATTAATAATTAAATATAATTAAATAATGATTAAATAATAATTAAGTATATATATAATTAATAAAATAAATTGCTATTTGCACTATAGATTTTAGCTATTCATATCATAGTAACTTTTATTATGAAAAAATATTTATCCTAACTCTAACTAATTCTAGTTGTGATCTACATACCATGGTATGAATAGCCAAAATTTGTGGTGCAAATAGCAGTTCCCTTAATAAATTATAATTTTTTTTTTTAAATTTTAAAAATCTTTTTATTACTATATATATATATATATACACATATATTTAGATGAGTTTTTGATTACTCTAGTAGGTTTAGGTTGCAGATAAATTAGATTTATTTTTTAATTGCCTGAGCTTTTATTTTTGCATATAATTTTCTTTTTATTTGTACTAGTACAAATAGTACAAATGTATGTACTGCACATATATTACTATTTTATAAATTACTTAATAAAGATATAAGCAAGACTTTATCTTAAAAAAAATAAAAAATAAAAAATATATATACATATATATATATATATTAATTTAACAAAATTCAAAAATATAAATCATATATTAATTAAGTATAAAATATATTTTATCTACTAATTTATATTGTTGAATTTTTTATCAACCATTTTGACTTAAATAAAAAAACATGATTGTTAATCACATCAGGAAACATATAATATAAAATATTAATAGTTGCAGATTCAAAATCTGTAATAATCACTGTCAGATTTAATTCTAATCTATTTTCTTCTACAAAGTTAATCAATATTTCAAATAATAATTTATAGTGCTCTGCAGATTTATTTGTCATTAATGCATAAACAAAAGAAAATATTTTAGAATTATCTTATAAACCAACTGAAGCATAAACTGTATACAATTGGTAAAAGATTGTAAAAATAGGTTAAAACATGCCATCCATAAGCCAGTATACTGTTCAAGATAAATACTTAATATTTTCAGATGTAGTAAAAACAAGCATTCATTCATCATTATCAATAATTTGATCTCTAATTAAAAATAAGTTACCATCTAAAGTAAATTTAAATAATTCTGGCATATTTAATTCAACTATACTTTGTGGTTAAGGTAATGATTCTATTTTTCAAACATGATTAATTGTTCTGTACAGACTATTTAATGATGGAAAATAAGAACAAAATTCTTCTAATAATTAACAACATTGTCAAATAATTTTTATAGGTTTGTTACTTGTTTTCTTAGCTTGCTTTTTAAATTGATTTGTAACCTTTGCAATCTCACCTTTATATAATTCTAGTATATGATTATGTTTAGAAACAGAACCTTTTTGAAGATAATATATATTATTATATAAGTATATAATAGTATAACCTTTACATCTTTTATCTTTAGATTTTTTTTAATCATAACACCAATAATAAATATGATTACAATTTTTTCTTTAGTTATTAAAAAACTGCGAACATTAATTTTATCACCTCTTTTTTTTGATAGTACAACTTTATACATTTTTTTCATTTCTTCTATTTTTCAATAGTTAAAAAGATAATTTTATAAACAAGAAAATAAAACTTTTTATAATAAAAAAAAATTATATCTATAACCTATAGATCAATAGTACAGTAGTTAGCACTTCTATGTCTCAATCGCAAGGTTGTAAGTTCAAGTTTAGAGGGTGACTAAAACTCTGCCAAGACCATGATTGAAAAAGATCTGCAGAGAATTTCTATTTAAAAAAAAAAAAAAAAAGCAAAAACAAGATTCATACAAAAATGTATACAGTGACTGGTATAGTTACAAAGTTAGGAACAACCAAATAAGCATAGTCTGTCAACAAATAACATTAATTTTTGAGAGCCTGATTTAAGAAAACATAGAATTGAGAATATCAAAATTTATGAATAATTTAGCTGGTAGGTTATGTAATTTAAAGAACTGCAGACTGAAGAAAATAGTAGGTTCTATATCATAGAACAAGGGACCCAGAATGTCATATGACAAACTTAATAGAGCATAAGTTATCTTACAGTTCAGTAACATAAAAAAGCCACACACCATTCGATGATCTTTACAGAATGATAACTTTGGCCTTTAAGAGATATGACAGGTCCTAAAGGTGTTTAAAGACCTTCAGGATAGCAAAGAGAGGTAAAGATAAAAAAAA